CTCTACCAAGCAGGATGTTCCTCTCCAGGGACTGGTCTCTCCTGACGATGTGGCCAAGGTACATGAGACCAAATCTCGCCAGCTTTGCTTCTAAGGCAGATTCTGGCTGTATTTCTTGCAGACAGTCTTTTAGCAGTCAATATGCTTCACCAGCCTCATAATTGAATTTGTTGTATCACTCTTGTGTGGTTAAACAGACGCATGCTATCCTACGTTTTACTTTTATAAATAATATTGGTACCAACATCTTTCGGCATAAACCTTCTTCTGAATTGAAAGGTAGTCCATAATATATTTTATAGAGACAGTCTAGAATCAACTACTTAAGGTTTGGAGACATGATGATATGTATCTAGCAAGGCTGGCCTCAACAAATCCTTGCCCACAGCTATACTGAAGAACCATGTATAACATTGGCAAGTTTTCTATTGACCATCCTTCTTGACCATACAAGGCTCTTGACACTATTCTCATTCAATACAATCTCTCCATGTGAATCATTGTGGTCTCATCTGGTCATTTGTAGGTCTGCTTCAGTGCTCCAAAAGCCCTCAGACCCTTCGAACCAAAGGACAGAAATAACATTTCCCCCAAAATAAGACAGTGTCTTATATTAATTTTTGCTCCCAAAGATGCGCTAGGTCTTATTTTCAGGGGACGTCTAATTTTTCCATGAAGAAGGATATGGTACACATTTATTGTTGATAAAAAATGGAAATGTATTAACTGTATACAGTACGGTAGTAGTTGTCATCACAAACCAGCACAACCAGACAAACTGTGAATCCTACAGTATCAATAATTTCTTGTTATTTGTGCCCCACACGACTCACTGTCTAATTGTGAGTCAGCCAGACTCCGTCAGGGCAGAGCGAGCAGCAGGCAGCAGCTTGTCCTGGCAGCGGTGCTGGCTCTCTGATTAAAAGAGAACTCGCCCTTCCTGTCTGCCCCAGCTGCGTTGCAGCCAACAGTGAGTTGCGCGGTGGTGCCTGCCGCTACGGTCCAGGGTCCAGAGTTACAATAGCATCAGGGGGTCTTATTATCAGGTAGGCCTTATTTTCGGGGAGGTCTTATTTTCAGGGGATTCCTTATATTTCAGCAAGAGGCAAAACTGTAAGTAGGTCTTATTTTCAGGGGCTGTCTTACTTTCAGGGAAACATGGTAGAGGCCAACAGGACTTGAAGAACATTGCTCTTGCTCCAAACATGACAGAGAGAAAACAGAAAACAAAAAATATCTTAGTTTTTTTGCAAGACCCTCGTTTGCAAGACCCAGTTCATTTATGACTTCAACTTTTTGGTATCACTCAGAGTTTTACTTTATTTTTATATTTCTTCTCAGTCATTTTTCCTTCCTCCTATCTGAGTATGTTCTTTAAGGAAAAAAATAATTTTTCTTGAAATATCTCAGGATTCAAATTTGATATAAGCACCTCATGTGAACAATTGTATATTTTACCAATTGTTAGTATTATTTTAACATGTCTACATATTTTATTTTTTTCTTTTTCTATTATTCTTATTTTTAATCATTTTATTGGGGGCTCATACAACTCTTATCACAATCCATACATACATCAATTGTGTAAAG